TATATATATATATATATATATATATATATATATATATATATATATATATATATATATAAACACACAGAGTGAGAGAGAGATCTTTCAGATAATCACATTTTTTAATCATATTTTTATTGTTGTTAAAACAGATGTACAATGCCATTCAGATTGTAGTGTTTAACAGTTATCCCAACTATCCCTATGCCGGCTAAATAAATAAAAATTAAAAAATTGGGTGAAAGAAAAATAAATAAATAAATTTGGGGGGGGGGGATTCTTATCCAAAAATGGAAACACTTTACATTGAGACTTGTTTACTAGTGAGAAGGGAGAGTTGCAAGTTTATCAAAATAACCCAGTAAAGGGCCCCATACTTTACATAATCACATTTTAAAACTACTTTGATTTTGCTTCATTTATTTAGTTTAAAATACCACCTCAGGTTCACATATAGCACACGTACTCACATATATGCACTTGCTTCACATATGGAGGAGGTCTGGAGAAATGGCATTGTGTATGAAGGAGCGGATTCATGTGCCAGTAGGCAAGGAGGATGACTATATTCCTCCAACTAAGGGGGCATTTAGATGTAACTTTACCTAACTAGTCGTCTTAAGTCCGTTAGTGGGATGGTTTTAATTATCTCAACAAGGTGAGCAGCTGAGTTTCTCTATGGCTTTCTTAAGAAAATTTGTGTTTTGGGGTAGTAGTAAGGGAATCCTGTTTTCTCTGTTGTAAGTAAGTTTAACATCATAAAGACCTCCTAACAAATGTGCAGTTAAATCATAGAAATCATTAAAAAAAAAATCAATCAACTACGAAGAAAATCAACAAAGCATCACACAAAATCATAAACACCATCAAAAAGCTTCACATGACATTTATAGGGAGATGAGTTAGGGTTCAATGTGTAATAAGATTTTTTCGTTACAGCAGTTTTTCACCTGAATCTGCTTGCAAACTACCAATCATAGGCAGTTCTAAAAAGAAGGGTCTCCAGCCTCGACTGATGTAGCAAATTATGCAGCTCAATAGCAACATATAAATAGGAAAGATACGCATTTCACAGATAATGCCTGTGTGGTTACATACTGCTATCTGTTTCTAATTAAGGTCAATTTATGCTTGTGAGGCATAGCCTCTGCAACCGTCAAATCCGTCTCTGTGCGCAACCATGCCCCCCGCTCAGAGGTTCTGAAACCTTCATTGCGCACCTAAAAAAAATCCTGACTACGCGTCAGACGGTCGCAAACCTGCACAGACGTCAAGTGGAAGTGCGCAGACAAAAAACAGCTGTGATTGGTCCTTGGTATGCCTTTCCGACTGTCTGTGTGGTCGACCTTCTTGATTGGGTGCCAGGGAGCGCCATTTTTAAAAACCGAGGAACAACTACAATGGACAGCTACAACGGAAGGTTAATCGAGGAGGTACGGAAGTACAATCCGTCGAAGTTCTTGAACAGGCTCTTCCTTGCGCTTTGGCAGGAAACCGACGGTGCAGAAGCAAAAACTGGTTCGCAACTAGACCAAAGCGACATTCGATGACAAGTAAGGTAGCAAATAAAGAAAAAACATGTTTTTTTTTATCTTTTCTGCAAAGTAACTGGGGGGGTTCCTCAGCCGTGGCTCATGGAGTTACAGCAGTTTTCCTGTAGCAGCTAGTTGATTCCCTCTGAAAAGCTCCAGCTCCATGGCTTCTGCTTCATTCTTGGAGTGGCTTTATATTTGCTATACAGAAAAGAGGTGAGGTAGGCAGCCTTCTCCTCAGTTCTCGACACAAAGGGGAGAGGCATTCTGCTACGGTTCTCTTCTTTTGTGGGGCTTTCAGCAGCTGAGAGGTAGCCCACATTTCTCAACTTCGGCTCCGTTGTCAGCAAGAGGGGAGCAAGCTGCTGCAAGGTACATCTGGCTTGCCAGAGCCATCTGGTACACTGCAATTTAGATAACTTTCAGAAAGGAGAAATTTTGCATCTCCAAATGTCCCGAAACTTTCCTGTTCCAACAACTCGGGGGGGATCTTTCAGAAATATCTGATCAACCCAGTCTCTTGGGAAAATGTACCCCCACTACGTTGGTCCACACTGCAAAACGTAGTGGAGGT